CACACTTCCTGCCACCTCGCTTCTTCCCTCTGTCCATCCCGTTTCCCCAGAGCTGCTTGCCTGCTTCCATAGAGGTGAAATCAAGTGGAACCACAATTACCGCAGCCTCCTATTGTTTACAGGACGCTGTCTTCACAAAGGACAGGCTCCACCGCCAGGCAGCAGAGACAGAGATGAGGCTGAGAGTGTCCAATGCAAAAGGTGATACACGATGTGTCGTGTAAAAGCTGCAATAGGTGACATTTTATTCCTCTGAGGAAGGAGCTGCTCAGATTGTAATATTGAGGGTAAATTTATACACTGTATGTTGCCTGCAGAGATGTAAGGTAAGTTTGTGGGTGGATGCAGCCCATAGAGACACACATACAGTCACTGGCCTTAAGAAAAAAGGCAGGAACAAACACATTACTGCCATCAGTGACCATCATCAAACACATTTCTCCCGCCGTCCTTGTGTTTTAGCTCATTTCTGCTTGATTGTCACGGTTCAGGCGACTTCCTTATGGCTGACTGAGGACATGTACGTGATGTCATTGTACGGTCACTCTTCCCTGAGTGGCAAACAACAGAACCTGCATTGTGTATTCACATGAAAAATAAATAAATAAGGAAAAATCTTCTAAAATTGAAATGGGCTGCTGTGCACAAACAGCAGCTGTTTTTACAGACTGAAAAAGGCTGAAGAGAAGAAAAGCAATGCGAGGTAACAATTTCTAAGGGGCCGTGTAACATACTAAGCCACCGTGGTATTTTGAGTGACAGCTTGTAACTTGAATATTTAGGTGGCATTTCAAACCACTTCATACTACTGCACTATTTTCACTGGAAAATATTTAACTTTTTATTCCACTCCATTTATCTGACAGCTATTGTAAGTGTACTGTCAACCTATTTACACATTAATGCATAAGTAATATGAATGAATAACAGTCTGAAGGGAACATTCTGATAATAATTCAGCAATTTTTCTGAAGTAAAAATGTAACACTAGGATTTACATTGTGCCATAGTTTAGGGGTTTTGTTTTTTTGCAAAAATGTGTTGCATATTAAACTAGGTCTACAATAACATGTACAATATATATATATATATATATATATATATATATATATATATATATATATATATATATATATATTTCTTTTTAAACAACTAGGCCGATTGATCTAATAATACATATAACAATTCATGTTAATGTGCATTTTCAGATATTTTGATTTCTGAAAGAAGATCAAACAATAATTTGGCGGACCCCTGCAGTAACTCTAAGGACCCCTATTGTGTAGGCATTGTGGTATTGTTAAGTTTACTTTCCTTAAGTAAATGATATGAATACTTCTTCCACCACAGCTAACCAAGAACCCTGTTTTCTGAATGAAATGTACAATGTAAACCCGAATGTCCTTTGTAGACCTTGTGATTTTAATCAGGCTGATAAAATCCTTGTAACTACAGGATGCTAGCAGAAAGGACTGCTTCACAGACTATGAGTACTAAGATCCATCAGCTACAATACACAGCAAACTATACTAGTGAAACCGTAAATAAATATTATCTCGCCACCTCCAAAGAACTTTGGCTCCATTGTAAAGTCAAGTCAAGTCACGTCTTTGGCTCCATTGTAAAGTCAAGTCAAGTCACGTCAATTTTATCCCAATCACAATTTGCCTCAGGGGGCTTTAAAATCTGTACAGCATACGACACCCTCTATTCTTTGAGCATTGTAAAAAAAATCCTAATAATAAAAAACAGTCCATTTGTTTTCATTTAGGCAGACCAACCCCAAAAGGAGGTGAGTGTTGAAGGGTTATAATGGGATCAGGCATCTACAGCATATGCCTTCCGGCTTCCCTAAAGTACTGTAACTGTCAAGAAACTCAATATGTGGCCACATTTCAACATCCAATGTATGGTACATCATATGGATTAAAAATTATTATGAGGAGGTGCTATTGCAAAACAAAGTGACATGAATGCATGTGTTCTATAATGATTCAGTGTTGTTTTATATACATTGATTTATTTGTGGCAGTCCGCCACAATATCAACATTGATTTTCTTTTTACTGTTAAAAATGGATAACAGTGTTTTCCAATATATTAGATTCTATTTGTGGTTAGCTGAAAGATATATACAGCTCCACTGCTTCAAAAAATAACAAAATATAGCTATACTAGCTGGGCTCCTTACATTCTTTCAAATAACTTGGTCCTGAGAAGCTGCAGTCTTTATTCACTGACAATAACTATTATTCACTGTTTACTGCTAAACTGGCAACTTCAAAGCTAACGTTCTCCTTTGCTCTGCTCGTATTCACCATCTCTCTCTGCCGCTAGCTCTCTCTTACTTGCTAAACCACAGACTCACTATGCATACACCTTATGGACGACCCTGTGTAAATATTGTTTTTGGGGGCTTTTTCCCTTTTTATTGGATTTATTATTAGGATAGCAGAAGATAGACAGGAAAGGGAAAGAAAGAAAGAAAGAGCTTACACAGAGCCACAGGCCACACTGGCCCTCACTGCAACCTTGGTACATTGGGCACCAGCTCTACCATGTGTTCTTAAAAGGTCCAGTGTGTAGCGTTCAGTGGCATCTAGCGGTGTAGTTGCAGATCGAAAACTCCCCCGTTTCACCCTCAACCACAGTGGCTATGAAACACGCCAAATTTTTTTTAAAAATGCCCCTATCTCGAGCCAGTTTTTGGTTTGTCCCTACTGGGTTACTGTAGAAACATGTTGGTTTAACATGGTGGATTCCATGGAAGGCGATCTGCGGATATAAAAGGCAGATTCTAAGATAAAAAATAAATTATATCAGCGATTACCCACTATTTGTTGTTGTTTACCACCCTTTACAGGATTTTGGATACATAACTCTTCAAATAAGTTATTACTAAGCATGTAAGGAGCCTAGCTAGTAAGAATAGCTATATTTAATCATTTGTTTGATATAAGGTGTAGCAATGGAGCAGTATATATTGTTCAGTATATATGATATTATTCAATAATTAATTTAAGAAAGCATGAGTGTCCTGGTCAACTACCACCACAAATAGAATCTATCTCTGTGGGGAAAAACTGTGATAAATGATGAAAGCTCCACAATTCCACATGCAGCACCTGGACTGAGCGTCTTTCTCCTAGCTCATCGCTTAATAGAACGAGAAACCAGACAAACCCGAAACCGCTTTCCATGTCTGTGTGTGTCCTGTTTAATGCTCGACATCATTACCGAAAAACCTTTCTAGATCCAGACCGAATGAAGAATAACAATGCAGATTTTAGCACAACGCACCAATTACAAAACTAATGTGCAATCGTGTTAGCATTGTGAAATAGGAGCAGTCACCTCTCTGCACCGTGAACGCTAACTCTGTTTCACATTCATGCAGTGGATCTGAGACCCTCGAGAAGAAGCTGAAGGCAAGCAGAAAGCGAGAGGAGGAGAGACAGAGAGAGAGAGGATTTATCTCTCCAAGCAGATGTAGAGAGTGCTCCTCGGGCTCCCAGTCAGCAGCCAGGACAGTTTACAAGCTGCAAAATAGATTGATTGTCTATGGATCCCTGTCCCTGTGTGGCTGCCAACTGTGAGCTAATTAAAGAACACTTCTCCGGAGAAACACTGAGCAGCAACCAAGCACAACCTATTTGCTCTTGAGAAAACATGTTGCCCTAAACCCATTCAGAGGAAAAACATTGTAAACCACCTATGCCAGGTGTCACTGTACTGTATGTTGAGAAATAGCCTGAACCACAGAAAGAAACTCAGGCCAAACAGCTGCATTAGAAATATGTTGGAGAAATAGTCTCCATACTTTGCCTTGACATTCTGCTGTGATAAGGTCGAGGGAGTTGAGAAAGCAGGGTATATTTTTAATCAGAATATTTACTATCATTTTAAAGCCATTTATAAAACTGAATGACTGCAATCACCCATTCTCCTTCGATCACACACTGATTTTTCCAACCTTTAAAAAGACAGAGGCTGAGGTATTCACCAATCAGTTTGCATTCATTTCTCTGCAAGCTTTAATTTCAGGTACGAAAAATACAGCGTCACACGGCTGACAATTGATTTAGGAGACACTGCAGACTCGCATGAATGAAAACTTTGACCAATGTAAGGTAGGGGTAAAAACTGACAAAGAGAGGAGGCAACATACATGTCTGATTTTATCTACAGACACCGTGGGTCACCTTCCACAGAGGCCGCCATATTGAACGGCCATGTATCTACAGTAGCCCAGAAGGGACAAACCAAACACTGGCCCTAGATAGCGCTGTTTGCATTTTTTGTGTGTTTTATAGCCACCGTAGTCTCTCCCTCACACTTTCAAAGGGAGGGTGAAGCGAGAGAGTTGCAATCTGCAACTACACCACTAGATGCCAGTAAATTCTACACGGTGGATCTCTAAGTCTGCAGAACTGCAAGTACAGTCAAGTCTGGACATTTAGTTTTGTGGGTTTTGAATAAAAACAAAGCCCTGAATGGATAGAAATTTATATTTGATGATATCGGTAAATAAAAAGTCAGGGGATCACCAAACTGATCCTCTTGGGACCATGAGTGTCTGCAACAAATTTCACTGAAATTCATCTAATGGTTGTTGAAACATTTCATCCCATCAAAAACATCTGTCTGCTGGTGGCACTAAATGAAAAGTTAGGGAATTCTGGTGAAAATAAATATCTTGAAATTGAAATTGAAATGCCAACCCATCCAATATGTGTGCTGATATTTCAGTCTGAACCATCCCTGGTGTCCTGCTAATATGGCTAAAATGACTCCCAGATCAACATGGGAATGAATGGAAATCGGGAGGCCTACCTGTAAACATTTCTCCCTACAGATCAAAAGAAACCTTCCAACTCGCTAACCACGAGCCCAACAAGCTACAGAACCATCACGCATATCAAACTAGATGTGTGATGATATATTAGACTCACTATATGTAATAACAGTGACAGTAATGTGTTTGCATGCAGGCAGACGTACCGGTGCAGGAGTATTCGTCCACTCTGATGAAGCCAGGCAGACAGTCACAGCGATGGCTTCCGGGCAGGTTGACACACACTGTATTGGACTGGCAGTAATGCATCTGGGTCGCACACTCATCAATATCTGAGGACAAACAGAGCAAAAACAGTGGATTAAACTCTCTGTCTCTAAACACAAACTCACAACACAAAGTGATTCCTGAGGCAGGTGGATGAAGCTCATTGAACTGCATCAACACTGTTGCATTAATCTCATTACAGAAGCGGGTCTCCGGGTGTCACCTTGTTGCTTACAGTTATTAATGAGATTGTTGCTCATCCCAAAAATTGCTGTTACTCAATCACACTGATGAACTTATTTCGCTTAAATATATAAATTAAGGTGTGATGTTTAGTTAGAGCTATGGCAAAGAGTACCAGGCAAGAAAGAAATGGGGAGAGAAGAGAAAAATAAAGGCGAGGAGGAAGCTGATGAGTTAAAGCCATGTAAACTAAAGAGGGCAAAGGCAGAGTAGCGTCTTTCCTGACACCCATAATGTTCAGGTAATATGACACATTACAGCCTCTTTTCATACAAAGAATCTTGCTCTTCCTAATGTAGCTTGAAAGACATTGTATGAGCATTAAAACACAGAGCTCAGGGAGGCATTAGCTGAGCTGGTTGACTGCTGATGAAATGGGATCGGAAACACACAAGGGAGGTGTTATGCAGAAGGGCCTAAATTTGTGTGTGTGTGTGTGTGTGTGTGTACAGTGGAGAGTATTTATGTGGATGTGAGCAGCAGAGAACCAGTTTCCTGAGGCTATCGGGCCTTTCCACCACTTAAGGGAGTCTGTATGCTACACTTAAGGGTAAGAGAGTGAGGAAAGTATTTCCATATCCTCTCCTTGGATAAATACATTCCAGCTTTGAGGTTTTCAGCTCACACTTTCCCCTTACAAGAGACTGAATTTGTATGAAGTATGTAATTGACTTACATGCAACACCCAGAGGTTCTTTCTCTGGAAATTTCATCCTTGGAGAGTGTACAGTAGGGGTGTTGAATTGCACAATCAAAGAGAGACGGATCGTGTATTCAGGCATACAAAGCCTCGCCGGCCATCAGCGTAAAAACCATTGATCTGCTACATCAAAAACATGAAACTTACTCAAGTGCTTTGAGGTTGTGAAACAGTACCTGAATCCAATTTTCATCTTGTCCTGAAGCAGTACTCCACCCTGAAAGCTGCTCATTTGATTACCCTTTATTGGCAAAAGGCGCCAAAGCGATGTTCAAGCCCGATGATGGCCTGCCTGCCATGTCGCCGACACACGGCCTCAATAATTCAAAGTCGAGAGCTCGCCGCTTTTGTCAGCTTTCATTTTAAGTGGGAATAGCATCTACTGTCAAGTCTGACGCATGATGAGGCTTTCTGATCTCCGGCGCTCCAAGGTCCCGCATCCCCTGTGTTTGTAACTGTGTGTGTCTGAATGTGTGTGTGTGTGTGTGTGTGTTGTGTGTGTGTGTGTGTGTGTGTGTGTGTGTGTGTTGGCCCTCTGCAGCCTCCTCTGGGAGTGTCGTAGCAGGTGAGGTCTGCTGACAGAACTGGAACTGTCATTTCACACAGGGGGGAATTCATTTTTTCTGGATTTGCCGGTGTGTCTCCCTCTGTCTCTCCCTCCCTCCCTCCACCCCAAACCTCCTCCTCCCCCATCTGAGCTCACTTTCTTCATCTCTCTGCTGCTTTATTCATGCTGTGATGTAGGTCAGGGCTGGAGAGGGGAATAGCTAAAAATAAGACAGGATAGGACTGTGGTGTGCATGTGCATGTATGTGTTTGTGCCAGAACGTGTGTGAGTATGTTTGCACCAGCTCATCCCTTTGTGTGTATTTTCTGTGTTTGAGAGAGAGAGAGAGAGAGAGAGAGAGGGGGAGAGAGATACTGTGTGTCTGCATGTTGAGTGTTTAGATGCTGTGAGGCAGAAAGAGAGGAGACTCTTAATATTCTTTTATGAGCGTGTGTGTATTGCGTGCAAGTAGATGTCTGTATGTGCACACTACAATTTGCATCACCCCTTACTGTACAGAGGTTAATGGAAACAGCTTTCTATCTAACAGCAATATTGTCTCCTGCTGACTAAAACACCTTCTTTTTCTTCACTCTAATCAACCCAGATTGTTTGTGTGTGTGTGTGTGTGTGTGTGTATGTGTGTGTCCACAAATGTGGTCCAGGACATCAGCCGCTGCAGCTCATCAGTCTCTTTTAGAAGCTAATTTTTTGGTCTGTTTGAAGCCTGCTGGATGAAGCTGCTGCTTCAAAATGAGAGAAGAGATGGAAACAAATTCAGAGATAAATACCTCTCTGGACTTCAAACGCATTCACCAAATTCTTTTCTCTTTCTAAAATATTTATCTTGCTCTTCTCTCTAAAATATGAAACTTGGTGAAGACGAAAAGACAGGTCTATTTGAGTTTGTGTGTGTGTGTGTGTCTCATGTTGTTCATCAATTTTTTTCCCCAGGTTTTCAGTTTGTCTGTCAATCAGCGGGAATTTAAAAAAAATGTTTGTGAAATTTGATTGAAAGACTGAATGGTGTTTGGCAACGGAACAATTGATTTGACTTTGGGTGCAACTTAGATCTTAAACATTCATCAGTAAACTGTTTATTTCTTAGCTATGAAGAAAATAAGAACATTTTGTGCAGAAACTATATATACCAATATATTAGTATATAATATCATATTAGTTATGCTATATACTATAATACATACTATAATATTGTAATTAAATATGAATGTCAGCAATGTTTACATTTGGAAATGAGGTGTTCTGTCAGCTTCTGTGGTAAATCTAACGTACTCACTAAATGATGGAGAAGAAGAGTAACAAAAATGTAACTTTTGATTTGTGGAAAACACATCAGACTAGGGATTGGATGATATAAGACATTATAAAAAACACTTACTACTATTTCTATTACTGGGATAATCGTGTATCTCTCACATGGCTTGACTTGAAAAAGTCCTTTTTTGATTTCCTGATTTATTTTGAACAAGGGGACAAGGGGGAGCCCGCATCTTTCCAGTCATTTCTAAAATCCTAAGCCTGTTACCATGGCTAGAGGCTTGGCTTGCCTGAAAATAGTATGGATACCAAAATAAATAAGTTAGCTGCCTCCTCTCTGTGATGCAATAAATATATATGTGGTTCTTAACAAAATGCTAGGTAAAGTGATTCCAGTAGGATTTCAGTATGGTGAGGTAACATTTTCATATTGTACCATTCCTACATCAGACACAATTTACTATTTCTAGCTGAGTATTTTTATGTCTTAAAACATGTCATGGAGGGGTTCTTTAAGAGATCAGTGTTGGAATCTGTAGTATAGCGACACGTTTCTATCTGAAATAAAACAAAACTGTATTAAACCCAAGCGGCTCATTTAGATTAACTGTGGTCTGATAAAGTCAATGTTTCACAGCTCGAGGTTACGCAGTGGTACACTCGTAATGGAGGGCAGCCCGAGCAGTTCACAACGGCACTGTATAAAAGTGTCGAGGGGACGAGAAAAAAGGACTTGACCAGAGCTGCTTCCATCCAAATGTCATCATCTCCCCTGATACGAATCTCTGTCCCAGCAGATGTCTCCTTCACACACACAAACACAAATACACAGCCATCAGCATTCTCCTCTTCTTTGACCTCTCCCTCTCTCTCTATCTCTATTTTCATGTACACAGAAGTTAATCTCGCCCAGCAATTACACACCATGATAATTGAGGCTTGCACAGAGCATTGCTTTCAGCATAGAGCACATACAACCTGCACACACACACACACACACACACACACACACAGGTTGTGTTGAAAGAGGGATGGGACATTTCATTTATTTTCTCTAAATGCAATAAACAGCTAATCAGCTTTTTTCATTTGACTTCCCTGAAACACAGTAAATAACCAAAACAGTGTAAGGGAGAAAACACATTTTCCAATAATGTGCATTTTTACACAAATTATTATGTCTATATGCAAGTCTCAATCACTGCACAGCAAGTCTATGCAATCAGAATGCATGAAATTACAGTTTGAGTTAACTCAATGTGTTCTGGGCAGTTACTGGGTTACAGTATTGCAATCTTTTTTCTTTTCTTTCTTTCTTTTTTCAGTAACCAGCAATATTAGCCAGGATTACAATTTCAAATTCAGTTATTACATAACAGTTACTAATCCCAGTAATGTTCCTCAAACAGTTCAGGGGGACAGACTGCTTGCTGATGTTTTATCTGGAATTGGATCATTATCAATTTTGTATGGTGTGGGATGTGTTAGCTTAGCACAAGGGATGTTAGCTTCCTCTGAAAGATCCAAAGTTTTTAAAGTACAGTAACTCATTTTCTGCCGTTAGGGGATCTCTCACATCAAAACAATAACAGAATAATAGTTGGATGATGTTGTGAAGTAGCATTGGATGAAACTACAGATTTCTCTGTGTTTGAACATGGTTGGAAACATTTGGGATAACGTAAGTACACAACACAATATATAACATAAGTCTAGTGTTTATAGACATTTTGAGTGGGAAATGTTGAATATTCTTTAAACACAATAACGTGACAACTAGAAGTTGTTCAAAGGAGCTTCAACTGAGCTGTAATGTAACAGGTGTTGTAACTAATTACTTCTAATCTTGTGTAATTAGTACTGTAATGTATTAACTCTTTCATAGAGTAATTTAATAATAATATATATATATATATATATATCTTAGGCTTTAAGAAATTTATTCTGCAATGCACTACAGTAATTAGAGTTTACCATTTACATTTTTATTATACACTTTTAATAAGTTCAACATTAACGTCCCACACGTGCAGCTGAAACACATTGCAGACTTTAAGTGGGAGCCTCAACTGTCATTGACTCCCATTACAAATAAAAAAGAAAGCTCTTCTTTAGTGTTGTGATGCAGCAATGTGACTGGCCAGTATCAGCTGCTGTCCTGGCTAAATAAAGAGACTGTTTCCTTGATGAGGCAATAAAAGTGCTCACTCACAGGCTTCCATCTTTATAAAAATCCAAACAAACACACTTCACTTCATTGGATTTCACTGTGTTGTCAACTGATGCACATTTATCCC